ACGTTTATTACGATCCTCTGTCTATTCATCTGTTGCAGGATAGCCTTCATTTCCATTAGTGGCATATCTGTATTGCCTTTATGGATGGCGTTTCGCTAAATAATATATTGATGCATAGAACAGGTTTAAGGTGGACGCAATGCACAGTGAATTCTACAGCACATATTCTGAAATATATTAAAAATATATTTAAAAAGCACTGCACAATCTATGAAAATGTTTGAAAAGGCTTTTTGATATGGAAAAAAAGATCTCTATTTTCTTTATCTAATAGTGTGCTTCTGTGTTTTAACGTTTTGCTGTCTAGTGACAGGTGCACTTTTAAACAATGTACTGTAGTCAGTATGACTAGAGTGATTTTAGCCACAAATGTTTTGATGCTTTTAAAAAAAAAAAAATTCTCTTCTCATAATTTGTGAAACTAGTAAATATGTCTCAGCTATTTGACAAAAACTGCCACGGGCCAGAGAACATGTATTTGCCCACACTTAAAAATTCACTCTGCCTAGCCTCTGTGTCATGAGTGTACATAAGTTGGGATAAGGGTAGTTGTAACATGTCCTGCCTGTTGTCTGTATAATGTCCCTCTCATTGTCCTTGTGCTTCCTTGTTAAAGGACCACTGTAGGCACCCAGACCACTTCAGCTTAATGAAGTGGTCTGGGTGCCAGGTCCAGCTAGGGTTAACCCTTTTTTTTTTTAATAAACATAGCAGTTTCAGAGAAACTGCTCTGTTTATAAGTGGGTTAATCCAGCCTCCAGTGGCTGTCTCTTGACAGCCGCTAGAGGCGCTTGCGTACTTCTCACTGTGAAAATCACAGTGAGAAGACGCCAGTGTCCATAGGAAAGCATTGTGAATGCTTTCCTATGGACTGGCTGAATGCGTGCGCGGCTCCTGCCGCGCATGCGCATTCAGCCGAAGAGGAGGAGAAGAGGGAGGAGAGCTCCCTGCCCGGCGCTGGAGAAAGAGGTAAGTTTAACCCCTTCCTCTCCATCCAGCCCGGCGGGACGGGGACCCTGAGGGTGGGGGCATCCTCAGGGCACTATAGTGCCAGGAAAACGAGTATGTTTTCCTGGCACTATAGTGGACCTTTAAGCAGAATATCAGATTTCAATATACAAGTGCTCTGCACAAAGAAACACGGCAAAGTGATCTGTGCCAACAGATGCTCTGACCTCTGCTCTCTTAACCAGACAGAAAAGAAAGAACACTCACTTATTACAATACAACTTAATACAATATTTCCTAAACACCCCTCATTATGTTTTTTTGCATAGGCCAAATAATTAACGGGATAAAACAGGGAAAACTAATGTATGGGTTTTTAAAAAGTTCCTACGATCTATGTAATCTTTTTATATCTGATAAAACTTAACTTTTATTGTAACACTAACACTTGCTACTCTCTCATTAACAGACACACATTGGTAGATTTTATTTCAAGGTGTTGTCACTATCTCCATTGGAATAAAACAGGGAAATACATAAGTCGTGGACTGTTGGTAGGCTATGAGGACTGGTTTTAGAACCACTGGTCTAAAGTATCTCACAAATATTTTAATTGATACTTCTTTGCACTACAGTACAGTATCGTACCTTACAACTGTCTCTATTAAGGAGGGACAGCGCCTATTATGAGCCCAAAACCCTGTCTGTTTTTCCAGAGCTCCATATTGTTGGTGTATATGAGTGTATAACAGCTTCACCGCAATAACACTCACAGTGATGTGTCTTCAAACTACAATAAATGTTTTTTAGATATGTTGGGAGGTATGCCGTTGAGTCGCAGCTCATGACTGATCAAGAGCCAGGAGCTGAATATAAATATAAGGTTACAAAACCATAAGTTTCTAAGTCAGCGGTATGCTTTGTACTGAAAGGTAACACTTTTTCCAATTAATTCTAACAAATGACATTTGAAAAGTAAGCCATTATGAACTGACAATGAAAATGCTGAATGCTACCCAGAAACTGACCTTTGCAAGGACCGAATAGCTCTAATCAGAGCAGCTGTTAAATTTTTAGTTTTTTCTCTTTATGTAAATTTTTTTCCCTTGGACTACAAATACTAATTTGTCTGTGGTGTAAAGCTAAGCAAGGGAGAAATTTGGAGGCTATTTTTGCAGAGTATTACAGTACATTTTACCATTTGGATTTCAACTCCCTAAAGTTCTGAGTTTAGTGACTAAAACCTAAAGAGTGTGAAATAACATTGTCGATTAACCATAGCTGAAGGTTGTGACAATTATATATATTTAACATTAAAGCATCCGGTTAATTACTAAAATATATATTGTATACAGAACATTCAGGAAATATTCAGGCCCCTTTTCACATATTTAATGTTGCAGCCTTATGTTACAATTGTTTAAAATAATTTCTTTTTCACAGAAGTTTTCACTTAATATGCCATAACAAAGCAAAAAACTTGGCAAATGTATTAGAAAGAAAAATAATGAAATCACATTGACATAAGTATTTGTTTGTTGCGACACTTGAAATGTAGCTCAGTTCCAAGGTCTCAGAGCAAAAACCAAGCTATGAGGTCAAAGGAACTGCCTGAAGAGCTTGAAGACAAGGTTGTGTTGAGGCACAGATCTGTGAAAGGCTACAAAAAAACAACTTTGGCTGTATTTAACCTCCCCAAGATCACAGTGGTCTCCACAATTCTTAAATGAAATAAGTTTGGAACAACTAGGACTCTTGGCCAAGCTGAAAAATCGGGAGGGAAAAGGGCCTTAAAACCAAGAACCCGATGGGTAAGATTCTTTGGTTTAATAAAATCACAGTTGAACGTTTTGGCCTCAATTCAAAGCATACATCTAGAGAAAAACTAGACACAACTCATCATTTTTCAACAGCCGTTACTAAGAAGCTGTTCAGAGTTGAGGGAAAGAGTGGGTGGGACTAGGAGACTGATCAGAGTTGAGTGCAGAAAACAGAAAACAGAGCTAATGAAAACCTGATTCACAGTGTTTAGGATCTCAGACCAGGCTAAATGTTTACCTTCCAACAGGACAATGACCCTAAGCGCACAGCCAAGGAAACACAGTAGTGTGAATGTCCTTGAGTGGCCCAACCAGAGCCAGGACGTACTTGTCTATCTCTAGAGACACCCTAAAAGGCCTTGGTAGTTTTTCTTAATGACTGTCATCCAGGCAATGGCCTTTCCAGACGAACATCTCAGATGACATGCTGTTAGTTGAAATGTTTATATAGGCTGTACATGTATGCTACAGTTTTCTGGATGCACCGCTTGTTTATGAAGAATTTGAGAAAAGTTCTAAACTAGTGTTTTCTGGATCAAAAGGACATAATTGAAATCACCGAAGCCTAATGAACTAGAGCAATTGGAGAGGAGAGAAAATAGGCTCTGTAGAATGTGAGAGAATGCATCCAGGATTCCTGTGTGATCTAATCTTGTGATGTAAATGAGGGAGTTTCTCGTTGCTTCCTGATGGCATGAGATCTACCAAGCTCGTGAACAATATTGTTGAACATGTGTGGTGATAGAGCCCACTCTAATATATACCCTGTTTTATTAATCTGCCAAAATATTTTCAATTCAGTTCAATTGCTCCATGCAATGGGCGGGACTGACATCACAAATTGAACCAACATCCAATCATTGCAAAGGGCGGAATATTTAAATGTCAGATAGTCAAAACATCTTTTCCCCTGGAAGAGCCAGAACATGGCATAACGCGCGTCGGGCTATTAGTTAGTAGAGATTTAAGCACACAGATTGTCTACAATACCCTCACTACAATAAGACTAGCCACTTTGCTAAAGATTGACTTCTATTTCTTTTACCCTTTTTTGTTGGGTTTACAAATAAATGTTGGTGTGACTGAGGGTGTTAGGAGTACAGCTTCCCCTTTGGCTTGGAAGTCCTTTTGTGAGGATGGGGGTGATATATATTGGAGCTCTAGATTTTTTTTTTTTTTCTTAAGGGGTGCCCCCGAAGGCATGATAGGGTACTAGCTCTTTAATTAACTCATTCTTGGCTCTATCCCTGCTCACTCCAACATTGCTAAAGAGACAGATTGATTTTTCATTTTGCCTTTTACCTCTCCTTTTTACCCTCATCAACGGTTTTAATTTTAAGTCTGTATTTCTTTGCAAACCTACATTTATTATTTGTTGATATTTAGATTACAGTACTTTTCACTCCCTGATTTGGGTTTTAAGATAATTCATTACAAGTGATGTTTTAATAATATGTCTCAACAGGGTTGCTCTCCTCCTTGTAAAGGGTAGTCTTGGGAGGTATGTATATTTCTTTACCTCTCAGTCTCCCCTTGAGTCATATCTGTGACCAAGCTGGCACGCTCTTCCTGTTTGAATTAATTTCAATTTATAAACCTCTAGCTAAGAACAGGCATATGTAAATAAAAAAAGTTTACTGTAATTTATTTGACAAAGGATAAATGCCACCAGTGGGGCAGTCTCTGACTGCCAAGCTGAGCCTGACTTTTATACCCAGAGCCAGGTTGTATAGGGTTCTCATAAATATGAGAATCACACATATTTTGTTATAGATGCACTAGATATATTATTTACAGATTCTATTTCAGTAAATGAATATCCCCATCACAAACACCCATGCCTATGGACAGCCTCTCAAAAGGCGGCATACAAAACAGAATTAAAGGACCACTATAGTGCCAGGAAAACTCGTTTTCCTGGCACTATAGTGCCCTGAGGGTGCCCCACCCTCAGGGTCCCACTCCCGTGGTGCTGAAGGGGTTAATAACTTACCTTTTTTCCAGCGCCGGGGACTCTCCTCCCTCTTCTGACGTCCCTGGCGCGCATTCAGCCAGTCTATAGGAAAGCATTATCTATTGTGAAAAATCACAGTGAGAAGCGCCTCTAGCGGCTTTCTCTGAAACTGCCGTTTACTGCAAAAAGGGTTAAACCTAGCTGGACCTGGCACCCAGACTCATTAAGCTGAAGTGGTCTGGGTGCCTATAGTGGTCCTTTAAGCACAAATCTGCTCTCCCAGGTGAAAAAAAAAAAAAAAAATCCATGTAATCAGGTCAGTGTTGCATCAATACATGCTCTACATCTGTCCTAGGGCAAGCATGATGAAGCATACCTTCATCAGCAACATCTACACAACCCAGTATTATCCTGTGTGGGAACGAGGTGGTTGCCAACTATGAGGACTCTCTGGTTTTCCCTGTCTACTACTGGGACTCAAACGTATTCATTGTAAGTTATTTCATAGTTACTATAACCAGATTAAGGTGCCCACGCAGTGTATATTGTCTTTTACACGTTTGTTTTAATTTTCTCAACATATCCACTTGCATCTACTGTGTGTTAAAACAAAACAAAACCCTCTTTACGTAACACTTCAACCAGATCATTTAAGTCTTGCTTTATAATTTGTTTCTCAGACACCATGTTTAATAGATGTTTTACTTTTATTACATAACAGACTTATTCTAGCAGCATAGCCAATGTATCCACTATGCTAAGTATATTAACCACTTTTTTTTTTTTTTTTTAACTTCTTATATTAAGTTTATTAACTGGCACAGTTCTGATATCGTTCTATTCTGGGCTACTAGCAAGTTGTATATAAGAGCTGCTTCTTGCATTTCTGATTATTGCAATACACTCATGTGATATTGCATCTTTACACTTCATTATTAATTAAAAGGGGCACTCAAGGCACCAAGACAACTTCATATAAATTAAATTATGGTACCAGGAGTCCTCCTGCGGCACACTCTAACCTCAAGAAGTTAAACCATTCTCCGCTCTCACATTATCTGTTATCAGTTATAAAATAGATGAAAACAAGGCAGAATTTAAACAGACAATGTGGTTAATGAAAGAATTATGGCCATTGGAATAAACTTTTATTAATGCTTCCCCATCTTTAAATAAGTTACAACTTGGGTAAATCGCTAGGCACGGTATGCATCTCAGTTGACAAAATGCATCTTCTTTCGCTAGAAGTAATCTGCTGGAAAGATTGACTCATGGAGAGTCCATTTTATACAGGAACAGCAGTATCTCCTACAAAGTGAAAGTAAAAACAAAATGTTAAGCAAAGCATATCTTTGAAAAACATTTTAAAATATATATATATATATATATATATATATATATATATATATATATATATATATATATATATATATATATATATATATAAAAAAAAATGTGATCTATATAGCGGTTTTATTTGAGAAGATTACAATTAAAGAGTGAGCATTGCAGAATTGTTGCTTGCTTTTCCAGTCTGACAACCTTGCATGGCAGCAGGCATAATTGGAACCAAGACATTTCTATTCCATGGCTAGGAAGGGACTCTGCTACAAGAAACAGGACCCATGGATTCATGGAAAATTAGTACTTACACAAAGGCTGTATAGAAGACTAAAACAAGTTAGAAATTTTTAGAGCCCAGACTTCTGCAGCTGATGACTAACGAGATAGGGTAGCAGAATAAGAATATGACACGAATTAAAGGAACATTAGGGTCAGGAACACAAACGTGTTCCAGTTAACCACTTTAAAAAAGGTAATACAATGTACCTTATTTCCAGCGCTGTGTGGGTCTGCCAGCACTGGCAGAAATAGGCAGGCCAAACACCAGCTTGACCAGTCAGCACCTCCTCATAGAGATGCATTGAACCAATGCATCTCTATGCAGAGCATGGAGGTGCTGCACCTCTAGTAGCCATCTGATGAGTCTAACACTTAAGAGCTGTGGCATGAGTTACGGGAGTTTGATAATTCCTAATCTACAGCACAATTAAAAAAAAAAAAAAAAAAAAACAAAAAAAAAACACACCATTCACCAAACACTTACATTATGATTTTTCCAAAGAAGTACATTTACCAATTTTGTGGTCTATAGTTCAGTTAAACTTTGAGTAAGGATTTCTAAAAACATTACAACCACATTTTAACATCCGAGTCCGAGTCCCCTACCAGATCAACCTCAATTATATGCACAGGGCTGTGAATTGTTTACTGCCCAATACTGTGTGCAGTATTTGATTTGATAATGTATATTGTGTTGACTATGCAGCTTGTACATTACTTTCCAACTAATTCACAGCATTACCTTTAAGATCTTCATAACACACTGTCTTCACAAGACTGAGGTCATCTTTCCTCAACACGGAAACTTCAGCACTACCCCATAAATCACATCTTCGTCTTCACTTAACACTGCAACATATTTTACACAAATACATTTAAACATTTCAGAGAATTGCAGCTGTGCACAATTACACATGCATAAATGCTCAGAGGAAAGCCGTATATTGGATAGATGCATCCCCCACCCAGATGGTTGACATTAGTAGTCAGAATTTTCAGATACGGTAGTAATCAGATTAGGCAATACTGTCACTTACTTTTAAAATACTGATTCCAACCTGGTGGACACAGCTACATTAAAAGAAAGCAAAATATTTTTCCATGCCTAGGAAGGGACATTGCCACTGCAGACAAGCCCCATGGAATCATGGTAATTAGCTTTTGAAAAAACAAATAAAGCAATTCAAATTAATAAAAACACTTCTGTAGAAAACTTGCCTATTTCCTGCCCTTTAAAAAACTGGACGGGTGCCTCTATCTTTTGAAGGAGAATTCCATCACAACAGTGACCTCTAGCGCCAGGATGCCCTAAAAATATATAGTTGTACAAATATTACATGAAAGGCAGAGTGTGAAAGTTATTGCAACGTATTTTACAATGCAAATCCAGTAAATATTAACCAATATTGAATAATAAAAGTGTAAACTGAATAAAAAAAGCAGGATACAACAAAATGTGTTGCTCAGTTCCAGATAGTCTGCAAACCAGGCATGGCAGCAACTAAAGCAGGAACCAAGGCATTTATTTTCCATGGCTAGGAAGGGAATCTGCCACAAGATGCAGGTCCCATGGATTCATGGAGCAACTGGAAACCAAAATATATCTAACCAATTAGTGTTCTATCCATAGGAATGCTGAAAAAGGGCATTGGGCAGGCCTAACAGATTTACATATGTGCAGAAGTAAGGGAGACTGATCATACAGATCGGTCTCTTCTGCTGTTGCACAGTGATGTCCCGTTTGTCGGTGGACTGCTGTAAAATTGAGGGAGTGTGGAGCAGCAGAGAAATTCCTCTAGTTGAGAGTCCCAATAATGGAATCTGACCAAGTTTATAAAAGGTTTATCACATATATTTTAAAGGGACACGATAGTCACCCAGACCACTTCAGCTCAATGAAGTGGTCTGGGTGCCAGGTCCCTCAGGTTTTAACCCTTCATATGTAAACATAGCAGTTTCAGAGAAACTGCTATGTTAATATAGCAGGGTTAATCCAACCTCTAGTGGCTGTCTTCCTGACAGCCGCTAGAGGCGCATCCAGTGTGCAGCACTTGGCGCGCAATCCTGCTCCACTCGGGAGCTGACGGCGGGGGAGGAGAGGTCACCAGCGCTGGATTAACCCCTTATGGACACATGACATGTGTGACATGTCCTGATTCCCTTTTATTCCAGAAGTTTGGTCCTTAAGGGGTTTTAAACCAAGAGAGGGGGACCCTGAGGATAGGGGCACTATAGGGTCAGGAAAACTGGTTTGTTTTTTGACACTATAGTGATCCTTTAAAGGACCACTATAGGCACCCAGACCACTTCAGCTCAATGAAGTGGTCTGGGTGCAAGGTCCATCTAGGGGTTAACCCTGCAGCTTTAAACATAGCAGTTTCATAGAAATTGCTAGGATTACATTATGGTTAATCCAGCCTCTAGTGGCTGTCTCATTGATGTCGGCGAATGACGAAGGAGAGCCCCCAGCACCGTGGGAGCCCGGCGCTGGAGAAAGGCAAGTGTCTAACCCCTTAAGCCTTCTTGAGCCCGGCGGGAGGGGGGCACCTATTAACACTATAGTGCCAGGAAAATTAGTTTGTTTTCCTGGCACTATAGTGGTCCTTTAAAGCTTATTTTGTTATGTATTTTTGCTTAAAAAGTATTTACTTGCTGGTTTAAAAAAAATAAAATATATATTTCTCAAGTGATGTCCCGTTCACTAAATGCTACTCTGAGAGGATTTGAATGGAACAAAGATTTGCCACTCTCAGACAGGAAGTTACAGCAAAGGCTGAAAGGTAGGCATTTCTTATGTTTTAATGGCAAGGAGGGAAAATCAACTAATGACATTATAAGGGGTATTTACAAAAGCGAGAATTCAAGGTGCATTTCAAATGTAAGGTCAAAATAGTCAAACTGGAAACATAGCTTACTTAGGTATTTTTTCCTGTTCAACTATTTGGATCTTAAATATGAAATTCACTTTAGTGAATAACTCTGGATAACGAACACTACAGAGAAGAAATTCCTCATATTTAAGAGGCACAAGTGGGAAAAGACTAACTCTACACAAATTAAAAAAACAGCAATATCTCTGTTATACTCACATATCATTCATCACCCATTGCTTCTTGCCTCTCGTTTGGTCGCCATATTAGCCATTCTGGAATGAAACATTAAAAATTAGCCACAAAAGCTCGGCTCTTTTAGAAGTTTTTATGCAGTTTACACACTCACAATTCCTGAATAGGAAGGCTCACTCAATGATCCTGTGAAGTCACTATCCTATACAGCAACGTATAGTAACAATTTGAATGCAACTTTGCACATTGAACGTCCTGCCATTAGAATGTCTCTTCTTCTTCCAGTCACTTTCACAATGAAAGCATTACCAGAAAAACCAAAAACACCATTACTAATGCCAGACAGACTCAATCATTCAGTATCCGCCAAGATGACCGGAATCTGCACGGTTTAGGGTATTTTCTCTACTTTTTTTTTTTGTGAATTAATATTTACTAACACAGTGTGAGCACTCGGTATAACGGCAGACCATCCTATAGCACCATATACAACACAGGAATCACAACTATCTGCCATTACCTGTGAAGCACCGCCTGGCTCTCTCCCCGGTACCGCGCCCGGTCCGCCTGGCTCTCTCCCCAGTAACGCGCCTGGCTCTCCCCCGGGTTCCTTACCCGACCGCCACGTTCCACACGCCGCTCACAGAGCACGTGGCATTCCGGCCGCAGCGCCCTGATGACGCAACACAACTTTCTCCTCCCACTGTAAGTGCAGGATGCAGACCCACCCGCCATGGCTACTAATCTTCCAATCATAATCTGGGTCCTTCTAACCAATCAGCGATGGGGAAGGTCCTCCTTTATATGTGCACGGGGGCGTGGCTATTTTAGTTTGTGAGTGTTTGGGCTGGAGACAAGGTTGCTGAGTTATGTATGGAGCAATGCTGATGGCATATAGAGCTTGCAGTATCATTATACAGACATATAGCAGTTACCCCTTACTGAGGGTGGGGGCCAGTCACTTCCAATAAGAAACAGTACAAGTTCAAGCTTTCTCTATTTATTGCCCATACATTGCTTCCTGCTCCCAGCCATTGAGGGGGCTCTAGTCTAGCATTCCCCACACGCCCCATGGTGCAGGATGCAGACTGCTCACAGTGTTTGTGTTATAGTGTGTGGCTGTACGGGGGCAAGTTTTGAATTATTTTTTAAAGGAATGGAGACTGGGTAAAAGTCTAACGGAGAAGAAAAGGGAGTTCCAGAGAATAGGTGCAGCCTTGGAGAAGTCTTGAAGGCGAGCATCAGATGTGGGACTATGGACAGAGGATAGACGTAGGTCTTGGGCAGAGCGCAGGGGTCTCGACGGGACATACTTGTGTATTAGGGAGAATAGGTAGGTTGGAACAGCATTATGTAGAGACTTGTAAACAAGTATCAGAATCTTAAATTGAGACCTATATCTAACTGGAGGCAATGTAGGGACTAACATAGGGGGAGGTGCGGGTGGACACAGCATTCATTATAGATTGCAACAGTCCAAACTGGGAACATATAGGACCACTGAGGAGAAGATTGCAGTAGTCAAGGTGGGAGAGAAGAACTGCATTCACCAGCACCTTAGCCGTGTCCGGTGTTAAATAGTGGCAATGTGCATCAGGAGCATCAGGATTTGGTTATCGACTGGGCATGAGGGGTAATTGAAAGGTCGGAGTCAAAGAGAACACCTATGCAGCGTGCCTGCGAGGTAGATGTGATCGTAGCGCCATTGACTTGGAGGGGGACAGACACGGGAGTAGCAACACTTGAGAAAGGAAAGACCAGAAGTTCTTTTTTTGGACAGGTTGAGTTTAACCCCTTAAGGATGCAGCTTTAAAAACTGGACTTTCCCTTAAGGACACAAGCCATTTTTGCATTTTTTGCTGTTTGTGTTCAAACCCAATTTGCATCTCTGTCATTTATTGCACCAACACATATTATATACCATTTTAGAGGGCAAAAAGGGCATTAACTTTATGCCACATATACATAGATCCTTCTCATTAAGTATAAAAAAATGGGGAAAAAACAAAAAACACTTTGTTTCACAGTTTTGGCAATAATACTGTGTGCATATTATGTCCAGCTTAGAAAAAAATGATTAAAAAAAAAAATCATTTACTGTATATGTCTTGATTTATAGAGTTCATAATATGTATAGTATTTCATCTTATTTTGAAAGTTCACAAAATAAAAGGACTAAAATAAAATTTCAGTGTGAAGCAATTTTAGAAGTTGGTATTTTTGTCTTGTAGGTTTAGTAGCCATCACACAAAACAAAATACCACACAAAAGTATATATTTATATAAAGTAGACATCACAGGCTATTTACCTAAGGTTAGTTTGACACTTTTTACGTAGCCATTTCATCGCCAATCTGCTAAATATTGGAGTAAAATTGTCATTTTTTCTCTATTTTGGCATATATACATATAACAAGGTTTTTGTAATGTGTATTTTGTAAAGCTGTGTGTGCTATTCCTGCACATAACCCCATATTGTGTTCAGCTACATCTGCTGAGTATAATGATACGACCATTGTATGCCTTTGGCACTATTCTGTGAAGCTACAATGCCATATAAGAGACAAGGCTATTTCAGTTTCTATAGGTAGAATTTTCATAGATGGATTTGACGGGCATATGTCTCATTTTTGGGTATTACAGCAGTTTGACTGTTCAAATAAACCCACAATGGGCTTCCATTTGATAAGGCGGACACCCAGGGGTATCCTATATAGCGTATATTGTGCCTTAACTTGTCACCATTGTTTCGCCGATTTATGTAAATGTTTGTGGTGAGGAAAAAAAATAAAATTTTTACATACATGTTGCATTTTTGCTGAGTATTTCTTACCCTTGATATGTACCACCGTCATAAAATCCCCCAAATTATGCTCAGTTACATCTGAGTAAATCAATATGCCCGATGTATGACCTAGACACTGTTTTGTGAAGGTACAGTGCTGTAAAAGAGATGTGACCAGTTCAGATTTTTAAGTGTGAATTTTCATGGAGGGTTTTGATGCGTCCGAGTCCCACTTTGGAGCACTTGAGCAGGCTACATATTCCAGCTACATCATAAAGGCGTACCATTTCTTAAATAAGACATCCCAGGGTATTTCAAAAGGCATATTTTGAACCTTAGCGAGGGATCATTTTTCCGCTAGCTTGTACCAAGTGTAGTGGTAATAAGCATTTTTTCTGCCTTTTTGACACACAAAGCGAGTTTGCACAGTATATTTTGCAAACCTTATGGGTGCTACGACTGTATAATACTTCATATGTTGCTCAGCTATGTAGTCTGAGAACAGCAATACCCCCGTATGTACCTTTGCCAGTTATATGTGGATATTGAAGGGGCACATTTGAGACACAGCCATTCCAGTTTTTTTCAAACTTTGAATTTTTACTCTGTGTCCAGGTCCCATTTTGGAGTATTTTAGCAGGCTATATATTCCAACTATCCCATAAAGGCATACAACTTCTTAAAGAAGACATCCCAGGGTATTTCAAAAAGCATATTTTGAACCTTAGTGTGGGATAATTTTTCCTCTAGTTTGTTCCAGGTGTAGTGGTAATGAGCATTTTTGAACGGCTGTATAATATTTCATATGTTGCTCAGCTATGTCATCTGAGTACAGCAATACCCCCGTTTGTACCTTTGCCAAGTATATGTGGATGTTGAAGGGGCACATTTGAGACGCAGCCATTCAGTTTTTTTTCTAACTTTGAAGTTTTACGCTGTGTCCATGTTTCATTTCGGAGTAGTTTAGCTGGTTGGTTATTCAAACTTCCCCACAAACACATACTATTAATTAAAGAATACACCCCTGGGTAATTCAAAAGGCATATTTTGAACCTTAGCGTGGGATCATTTTTTCGCTAGTTTGTTCCAGGTGTAGTGGTTCATTTGTTTTACTGTTTTAAACTTTTTTTTACTTTTTAAAACTTGTTTTTAAATGCTTTTGTTTAAAATTTTTATAAACTTTTTTTTACCGTTAACCCCTAACTAGCAGTAAGCAGCACTAACAGTAAATTCTCGAATTTCCCATAACTTCCACCCAACCCAGCTTGCAAAATATATAATTTTTAAATATTTAAATTAACTAATAAAATAAATTTAACCCCTGAGGGTTAAAAAATAAATAAAAGTTAACCCTCAGGGGTTAAAAAAAAATCAGTTCACAGTAAAATGTATTCCCTGCCAATTGATCACTGTAGTCAGTGATCAATTGGCAGGGAAGGGGTTAATTTTATTAAAGCAGGGGAAAAGGGGGGGGGGTGTGGGATTTAACTTTAATATTTGTATTTTTTTTTTACTGTGGGAGAGCAGGGAGCCGGATCAGAAGTCCCTGCAGCACATGTGCTCGCTCTGACAGCCTGTCAGAGCAATCACAGCTGCAGGGACAGTGCAATCGGGTGCTCCCGGTCTGCCTTAAATACAGAGGCAGACCAGAGGAGCGTTGACCCTGCGACCGCGGCGATCTGGGGTTAATTTTAGCGCATGATGGACCCAGTCCATCATGCATTGTTAAGTGCTTCCACAGCATGATGAACTGCTTCTGTCATGCGTCCTTAAGGGGTTAAGGAAGTGAGCAACTATCCAGTTGGAAATAGCAGAGAGGCAGTCAGAAGCATGAGTCAAGATGGGCGGAGAGAGATCAGTAGAGGACAGGTAGATTTGCCTGTCATCCACATATAAATTAGGTAGAGGTGATGGTAGCCAAAGGAGCTGATGAGCTTACCAAGGGAGGCAGTATGGACAGAAAACAGCAGTGGACCAAGGATAGAAACTTGGGGAACATGAACAGAGAGGGGTTGGGAAGAAGAGGCAGAGCCAGAGAATAAAACACTGAAAGAGCGCTGGGAGAGGTAGGAGGAGCACCAGGAGAGAGCAGTATCCTGTAGACCAAGATTACGGGGAATGAGAAGAAGCTGTTGATGATCAACAGGGTCAAAGGCAACAGAAAGATCAAGGAGAATTAGGATTGAGTAATGACCACGAGATTTAACAGCGATTAAAGGAACACATGTATTCCTGACCCTATAGGGTTAAAACCGCTATCTAGGCCCCCTGGGCCCCTCATGCCTCCATAAATATAGCAAAATCTTACTTGTATTCAAGCCTGAAACTGTAGCTCTGCATGCTGTTTGCCTCAGAAAAACAAGCTGTCTGCTGACATCATCAGAAGTGGTAGCCTGATCCAATCACAATAGGATTGGCTGAGACTGACAAAGGGGCAGAGCCAGCACAATTCAAACACAGCCCTGGCCAATCAGCATCTCCTCATAGAGATGAATTGAATCAATGAATCTCTATGAGGAAAGTTCTGTGTCTGCATGCAGAGGGAGGAGATACTGAATGTTTGGATGCATTTTAGGCAGCCATGACCCAGAAAGGATCTCTAACAGCCACCTGAGGAGTGGCCAGTGAAGTTATCACTAGGCTGTAATGTAAATACTGCATTTTCTCTGAAAAGACTGTTTACAGCAAAAAGCCTGAAGGTAATGATTCTACTCACCAGAACAAATTCAATAAACTGTAATTGTTCTGGTTACTGTAGTGTCCCTTTAAATTGTTGGATACTTTGGTCACAGAGTGACATGCATGGAATCCAGACTGAAGTGGGTCAAAGAAGTCTGTAACTCTTACATACACAACTCTCTCAAGGATCTTGGAGACAAAAGGCACTAGCGAGATATGGCGGTAGTTGGATGGGGAGTTGAGGTCAAGGTTGGGTTTTTTCAGAATTGGGGTT